TCCCCATGGATTTTGGGGTCACCATGACCCCACAAGAACCTCCATGGATTTTTGGGGTCCCCAGCCCCTCCCCATGGATTTTTGGGGTCCCGCAGCCCCTCCCGGTGGGATTTCGGGGTGCCCCCACCTCCTGCAGCAGGTCCGCCTGCTCGATGGCCTTGAGGACGCTCTTCTTGGAGGTGTCCTGGATCTCGCCGCCCATCACGAACTCGTCCAGGATGAAGTAGGCCTTCTCGAAGTTGAAGATGATGTCCAGCTCGCACACCTGGCCGGGAGGGTCACCGCCGGCTTGGGGACACCCGGGGACACCCCCAAATTCCGGCTCGCTCGGGTTACGGGGAGGGAAATGGGGGTAGGGGACGTTGGGGTGGCTCTTGGTGGCGCTTGAGGGGCTCCTGGAGGACTTTGGGGTGCCCCAGGGGTGTTCCTAGAGAACTTTGGGGTGGCCTCAAGGGGCTCCTGGTGGCACTTGGGGTGGCCCTGATGGCCCTGGGGTCTTCTTAGAGAACTTTGGGGTGGCCCAGGTGGCACTTGAGGGGCTCCTGGTGGTTCTGGGGTCTTTCTGGGGGACTTTGAGGTGGCCCTGGTGGCCTCAAGGGGCTCCAGGTGGCCTTGAAGGGCTCCTTGAGAACTTTGGGGTGGCCCTGGTGGCCTAGAGGGGCTCCTTGAGGACTTTGGGGTGGCCCTGATGGCCCTGGGGTCTTCTTAGAGAACTTTGGGGTGGCCCAGGTGGCACTTGAGGGGCTCCTGGTGGTTCTGGGGTCTTCCTGGAGAATTTTGGGGTGGCCCTGGTGGCCTTGAGGCGACCCTGGGATGTCCCTGATGATCCCAGGATGTCCCTGAGATGTTTCTGGTGACCCTGAGGTGTCCCCAATGTCCCTGAGGTGTCCCTGGTGACCCCAGGATGATCCCAGGGTGTCCCCAGGATGTCCCTGATGACCCCAGGACGTCCCCAGGATGTCCCCAGGGTGTCCCCAGGATGACCTCAGGATGTCCCCAGGATGTCCCCAGGGTGTCCCCAGGATGTCCCTGATGACCCCAGGATGTCCCCAGGATGTCCCCAGGATGTCCCCAGGACGTCCCCAGGGTGTCCCCAGGATGTCCCCAGAATGACCCCAGGGTGTCCCCAGGACATCCCAAGATGTCCTCAGGATGCCCCCAGGGTCTCCCCAGGACATCCCCAGGATGCCCCCAGGGTGTCCCCAGGGTGTCCCCAGGGTGTCCCCAGGCTGTCCCCCGGGCCGTGTCCCCACTCACGCTGCCGAAGTACTTGTCCAGCAGCTCGACGTAGCGGTGGATGAGCTCCAGCGTGATCAGCTCGTTGTCCTGGCCCTCGATGGCGCAGCAGAAGTAGAGGCTGGCGTACCTGGGGGACAACGTCGAGCTGGGGACGTCCCCACGGCCACCGCGACCCACCGGAGCACGGGGACGCGGCCCCAAGGAGACCCCAGGTGTCGCTGCGGTCAGGACGACCACGGTCGAGCCATGGTGGTCAACCCAACCGTGGTCAACCTATGATGGTCAAGCCAACCGTGGTCAACCCAACCGTGGTCAGCCTATGATAGTCGACCCAACTGTGGTCAACCTATGATGGTCAACCCAACTATAGTCAATCTATCATGGTCAACCCAACCATGGTCAACCTATGATGGTCAAGCCAACTGTGGTCAATCCAACCATGGTCAACCGAACCGCGGTCAATTCGTCATGGTCAATCCAACTGTGGTCAACTCAACCATGATTAACCTATGATGGTCAACCCAACCGTGGTCAACTCATCATGGTCAACTCATCATGGTCAACCCAACCATGGTCAACCTATGATGGTCAAGCCAACCGTGGTCAATCCAACCATGGCCAACCCAACCATGGTCAACCTATGATGGTCAACCCAACTGTGGTCAATCCAACCATGGCCAACCCAACCATGGTCAACCTATGATGGTCAACCCAACTGTGGTCAATCCAACCATGGCCAACCCAACCATGACCAACCTATGAGGGTCAACCCAACTGTGGTCAACTCATCATAGTCAACCCAACCATGGTCAACCTATGATGGTCAACCCAACTATGGTCAACTCATTGTGGTAAGGCCAACCATGGTCAACCCATCATGGTCAACCCAACCATGATCAACTCATCATGGTCAACCCCTCATCATCAACCCAACCATGGTCAACTTATGTGGGGGGCCCTAGGGGGGAATAAAAGGGGACCCAACCCCAAAAATCCATCATGGTCAACTGACCGTGGTCAAGCCAACCACAGTTAACCCACCATGATCAACCCAACCATGATCAACCCATCGTGATCAACTCATGACAGTCAACCCATCATGATGAACTCATGAACATCAACTCATGATGGTCAACCCAACAAGGGTCAACCTACCATGGTCAACTCATGAAGGTCAACCCAACCATGGTCAACCCATCACAACCAACTCATGAAGATCAACCCATGATGGTCAACCCAACCCAACCAAGGTCAACCTGGCCATTTTTGGGTCAGAAACACCTTTTTTTTTTACTGCGAAACCCCATTTTTTCCGACACCATCCGATTTTCCCTCAACTTTATTTTTTTTTTAGGCGACCAAAACTCATTTTTCACCATTTTTTTTTGGGTTTTTTTACCTCTTGTAGACCACCTTGAGGTCCCTCCACTCGAGGAAACTGCACACGAGGGGCGTGGTTTAAGGCGAAGGGGCGGGGCTGTTGGAGGGTAACGGTTGCTATGGCAACTGAGAGTGGATTTTTTTTAGGGGGAAAAAAGGGGAATTTGG